ACTCATACTCATACTCATACTCATACTCATACCGCACACGCATACTGGGATGGGGTGGGAAAAGGGGTAACTCGACCGGCCGATCGAGTGACTCGAGGAGCGTCGGGGCTCTGTATTTATACCCTCTCGGCGATCGACGGTTTGGGCAAAATGACGTCTGCGCAAAATGATTGGCCGATTCTTGGGAGGCTCGGCTCCTGATTTGCATATTCGTTACCTTCAGCATTTATCGCGATATTTTAAAGCGAGTGACTACTAACTAATAGTAGCCACCACCAGGATTGGTCATTCGGTCATCTGGTCAAGGATCGTGAAATAAAAATGCCAATATTCATTTCCAATAATTTTTATTCATTAGTTATTGAGGAAAAACGAAATTTTTTACCAAAAGTTCGCCGTTTCGACGGTGGGACGGTCAGTTCAATGCCAATAAAATGCCAAATAATGATAGTAACTCGTTAAATACTGGAATTAGAAAAAAAATGCATAGAATCTTTCTTTGTAGAGGATGTCAGTGCCTACAACTTCTGCGTAAAAAGCTTTTCGCCAGCGTCAATAATTAATTGGATATTTCCTTCTACACTTTTTAGCACGTATTATTCTTCCGACGTCTGATTTCTTTTTAATTATAGGAAATGCGTTTTTCTAAGGTACATAAACTATTGGAATTGACTGTATAGCCAATACATCCTTAAATAACATTTCTTACTGATTCACCCTGTGCTCTTTTACGGTGAATGTACCTATACAAAGAAGAACTCTTTGTAACATTATGCATTTCTATTGAATGACACTCCTCTACGTGATTGAGCTATCTAAACGATCTCCCTGAACTAACGACGATGCACTCGGTTTTTCTAATCGTGACGTAACATCCACGTGAGTTTAACCGAACTTACGGTTACCTAGGCGTGCGTGTTCATCCCAGACGGATCGTTAATCAGCATCTGTCACGTTGCACGGCAACCCATTCTGTCAATGGCAGCCGCTTTCGTTTCGCAATAATTGAATACCAATTCGATTCGAAATTAAAACAACAGGCGCATTGTACAAAGTAACCATATTTCATCAAACATTTTCTACAATTCATCTCCATTGTACTGACGCGAGTCCGAACGCACTGCGAATTTGATGAATTCATAGAAAAATTTTATACATAAAAGAACAGGAGTGTATATAGGCATTGTTAAAGCATAAAACAAATTCCAATTCTATTTCGTTTTTTAAATCGATGTTACTAATGATTAGTTTCGCGTGGAACTCGTCAATCTGGTAATATCAGTCATTGGTTCGAAAGTTGGACAATGTTCCCGACGAGTGCAACATGTGGCTCGCATCCGTATCTCTCTTTACGAGCTACAGCTATTAAACGAAATTTGTGGCAGCCCGGGTAACTACCGCTGGCTGGATATTGTAATAGTTGTATCGGCAATTGCCAGGCCGGTATCTAACTCCGGCGGTAGTAGAAACGGCAACGGGGTTGCTAAGCTTGTAACTTGTAACTTCACTCGCAGTTTGTTACCTCGGTATCTACTACCTGCTACCGAATATCCATCGCTGTACACATTTTACTGAGATTGGATCCCGGAGATACTTCCCATGTTTCTATTTCGTTTGTACATTACGAGAAATTCAACGTCGAATCTGTTTACACAAAAAGATATTTGCTTCCCTAATGGTTTATGAACTTCATCGAAATTAAATACCTTTACGTATGATATTCGAAAGACACGAGATATTTGAGTGGATAGCATTTCCATCGTTTGGTTAATCGCGCTACCGGTTGCTCACCTGTCAGGTAATGAAATACAAATGGTCGGAGAGAGCATTACCCCTTTACCGGTTTTCTCCAATGCGCCTTTGAACGGTTTCTTCCGCCGGGTGTCCGTGACTATCGCCAGCCGCAATTGACGATAACTACGAGTTGTTGGCCGGAGCTATTGCCCTCGATAAAGGTCTTACGGGAGCACTTACACCTACGGGGGATCGTTTCGTTCAATGAGTCACGCGCTTCCTGCGATTGTCTCCGCGCGATCCCTATCGATACCTCGACGAAAGTATACTAATGCGAATTTATCGTCACAATCCCGTGTACTTATCGTTCTGTCAGATTCGTTTTACAGTCGTCCGAAAGCGCTTACACGTTGATGATACAAGTTCGACACGAAATATTTTATACAAATTTGCGAAATGATAAACTGTATTAGCGATAATGACGAGGCATGATCGAATTAATGAAACGGACACTAAGGAAATATGTTTTCATCCCCTCTTTGATAATTTAATGAACCCGTGTTCCACGCAATTTTGTCAGCTGTACATCTCGAAAAGCGAACGATTATATCGCGAGGGCCGCTGGCGATACGAGCAATTAAAGCGATTTAAAGCGGTTCAATTGCTCCCATTTCCCACTCCCATCCCATGTACCGTGTTATTTCAAAAGATAAATCGTACCAAATTAAACTAATGTCGATAAAAGACACAATTTTCATTCCATAGCTTATCCGTTCATACTGTGGTTCGAAATTTTTGAATACGCGCTTATACGTTCACCGAGAGTTTCAAGGCAGCTGAAATATTTTAGACGGCAAACGAGAAAACGTCTCGTTTGGTTAACGTTTGACGGTTGACGAAGCGTTTCGAGCCTCAATTTTGCGGAGTTTCAAGGTCCCCGGCGTATTTCAAACATTTCACGAGCATATATTCGACGCCTGACGACGCTTTAATTTTCCAGCATTGTCGCCGCGTTGAAAGCCGGTGAAAAACAATTTTTCAACCAGGAGATTTTCTTCCCCGTTCATCGTCCCGGATTTCGAGACACGTTAAATATTACTTTCAACTTGTGCAAAAAGCTAGAACGGTTTCCACTAGAAGAATTGTAAGGAACGATGGAGCAATCTATTCCAGAAATTTTGTATTTGAGAACTGCATGAAAGTACATTTAAAACTGTCGTGTATTCTTTTTAACGCGTCTCCGGAACCCACAGAGATCTTCCTTCTTTAAAACGTTATGCACGAAAGCCTGTTGGGAGTCGAGGACCCACGGCACGTGGAATTCCATAGAAATTACCTTTATTACATCCCTCAGTCTCACGATTCCCCGTCGATTTCCGAGAATTCCACGAATTTCTTTCGTGACTCTATAGATTTCTCGTTTTAATACTGCTTTCTATTAAAATAATAGTTCAGTCAATTAATAGAAATTAAATAGTTTCGATTCGTTTTGCAATATTCAGGAATAGACAGATCACCTCGGTAAGAATTTATGTTTTGATAACGGTGCTGAATCAGATATCACATTCTTATATTGAAAACTCAGAAAAAGTACTCTCGATGGAGGGTCGAAAAAAAAATGCAGCTTCAGAGACGCATCAAGATGGGATTCGAGGTCCTAGGAGAATTCCGAGTTGAAAATCGTTGAAAGCAGCGCGCTCCGGAAAAGGATTATATCTCTGCGAGCAGTCTAATATCCTTCCATAAGCGAGTACGCGTATTCACTGTACGAAAGAGTGACTTAATAAAATGGGTCACGGTGGATTCAGACATTCGCGACCGAATTTCTCGGACCGTTTCCAGTTTTACTCACATTCCTATTACAACACACGCGTCCCTGTAAAATATATACGAACGGTTACCGTATAGTATTTATCAACTGAAAAGCTTGTCGTCGGTTTGAGTTTAATTATTTATTTTCATTGAACCGTGGGAAGATCCGCGTTAAAAAATTGAATACCCGTTTCGATATCAGGTGAAATGCAAATTCGGTTGGGATTACGGTTTGGGAGGGAATTTATACTAACGCGAGCGTACTAAATTACCGGGGGACGTAAAGCGCGTTATTAATGGCATGCCTCGCGATATCATCCGATTTTTCGAGTATCGACCATTAGTTCTCGTTTCCACGGTCCTTCTGCTCCTTATTCGTGCTGTTTTCACCCCGTAAATCCTCATCAACCGGTGGGTCGAAAGCGAATTTCCCGGTTACCTATAAATCACCAGATGTGATTACGGTTTTCCATGACAAAGCAGAATCTCTATATTTGTACTAGAAATAAAAAGTAGCGATATCAACGAGGATATTTATCAGAGACGTCAGGTATTGATAAGAAACCGGAGCATTGATCAAATATCCGAGGATAACCCGTATTCCTATAAAAATTTCATATACGTGGCCACGAAAAAGGAATCCCGGCTTGAAAAGCGGTTGAGAAGTCGCAAACAGGGTTATGAAAACACGGCCGGGGGGTACCGACCCGTTTTCTCGTCGACGAGGACACCTTTCAATTCGAACATTGATCGACCGAGGGAGAGGGGAAAGGGGACGCAGGTAGTCGACGCTCGACCTCGTGGCCCGATGTCACGAGCCGCGCGCGTATCAGTCGTAAATCGTCCCGTGGTGGTTGTTGCGCGTCGAATAGGGCCCCGATAAATCATTCCACGGCACGGATCAGTTGCGAACGGCTCGGTAAATAACAAGTGTCGCTAACAATTTGCTTGTGCAAGCGATTTGGGGATTCGAGTTCACGTTCAATGGGACGATCATTAGTTCCTTATTTTACCTTTTTTTCACTCTGCAACGACGAAACGTTAAAGGGGACGGCATTGTGTTGGGATTAGATACGCCGAAGGAGATTCGAGCGGTTCACCTGTGAGACGAGCGGAGTGACTGAAAGATAAGGCAAAAGAGAGGAGAAGAGGAAACAACGGGAGATGAAGGGCCGACCCTGAAGAGAGATCGGGCCTGGCAAGGCCAGTTCGCAGAGACAGGGAGGAGTAACGGAAAGGTCGTCAGCCCCTTGAAAAAGGGGTCGAGGCCTGCGAGCAGCTTGAAAGCTCGGTCACAATAGGTTGCCTGCAAAGCTCTGGTTCCAGGGGGTCGGAGGCGGAGGAGCAGGGTGGCGGGGTCGGCGGGGACGGGGGAGGTGGCACAAGCATGTGCTGCGTCCTTCAAGGTGCCGAGAGGGTGTTCCCCTCGAACGGGGGGAAACACGGGTCCGGGACGGGGAGCAACAAGGGTACGGGCACCTCGGTCGGCACCCAGGACCTACCCCTCGAGTCTCTCTGGGCGGCCGGTCTCGATGACGGTATGGGATTCCCTCAAAGGTGTTCCTATGCCAATCATCATACCACTCTAGCTAGTGCCACGTCCAAACCTGACGATCTTTGGAAGGAGAGAAATCTCTCTTACAGGTAGACATCTTTTGGAACGCCCTTAGCATTTCATTTAACTAGATTCGTTTGAAAATAATTAAATGACAGGGATTCCAATCAATAATACAATTTTTGTATTTAACCGAACATTTATTTTCTTATACGCGGGAATACAATCCTTAATCAGAGATTTTAAATCTTCGATTTAATACACTTTACGAAACGAATCGCGTCTGTCATTAAACGACACGAAACTATCGAGAACGATATCACTCTTAGAACGCCTAACACTTCAACGGGCATCGACTCGTCAATCACGGACGAGATATGGACGTCCGCGAACGAGACGAAGTTCTTCCGCACGTCAACTACGTCAACGGGGATCGGCTCGTCGCTGAATCTCCACGAGAACAACCGATCGCTCGAGTCGCGAGACGGCGACTTCTATTCGACGGACATCGAGGATTCAAAAGACACGTATCGACGATTCTTTCCCAACACGCCGACCACGTCGGGCCTAGGATCCTCTTCGGATCGACAATCCGTGGAAACGCAGCTGGGATCGAAGGATCTCCCGGATCATTTGTGGGCCGCAGCGATGGAAGATGGTTTTTCGAGGTTCAACGCGATGAAATCACTACAGACGATCACTAGACAGCCGAGACCCAACCACGATTGGGTCAAAACCGAGAGGATCTCGAGGTTCACCAAGCACAGGACCATCAGTCGCTCGCCGCAACGGGAGGAGGAGATATGGACATCAAAGTTGAACGAGGACAGCGTTTCGAGTTACGCCACGCAGAGGATGAACGGGCCTCACAAGTGCCACCATCAGACCAGAAGAAGCTCGTCCATGTCCATCGTCGCGGACCTGGCGATGACGCCCGAGGGATCCCAACAGAGCTTCGGCAGTGGAGAATTCGTGGTGAGTCTCTATGTTGTCTCGGTGTCGTGTCTAGAACAGAATCTATGTATTTATTTTTATCAGTAGAATATGATAACTTATGTTATCAGTTAAAGAAATGTAACGTTCATAAACATTTCTTTTATCCTTCAAACATTGCAAAATGTATTCACATTCTGCACATGCATTTCTTCTATAAATGCGGTTTAATAAATAGTAAAGTAAATTGATTGAAAAATGGTTAGAGATCGGTACTTGTAACGTTAGATTCGTAGAACAAGGGATGAAATTATCCTATCAACGGGTCGTTGATAACGCGATTCATCCTATTTAGCCGGAGGTCACGTGACCCACTCGGCTAATCAATTGTCGACCCCGACGGGTAAAACGTAGCTGGAAACCGATCTCAATGAGATCTATACGCCTTGTAACACGGCGGCAAATGTCTCTCCGTTCGTCCCATGATAGCGATCCAATTGCGATTTCGAGAACGCTAGCTTCGCTTCATTGTTTCTAGCGAGTACACAGTTTCCGTCTAAACATCAAGTACTATCAGTCGTCAGTTCATGTATTTGAGATTTGCAGGTACAAATAGACTGTCAACAGAGAAATGCAAAGAAAAATCGAATTAATTCTGTTTATGAGTGCGTACTTGATCCGAATTCACGTCAAACGTGAAAGCGGATAATTTGAAACATGCCCTCGATCTTGGAAATGTGGATCGACTGTCGCCCGTAGACGAGACGACCTCGAAAAGCGTCGCGGTGAAAAATCAATGGTGTGCCAACCTGTTGCCTCGAATTATCGTTTCGCGTGAATTTTAACCGAAGGCCTTGACTCTCTAATTACACCTGCTCCCTCGCGGCCTTCCAATAGCGTTACAGGAATTGTCCGTCAAAAATGCTTTTCCCTCCTTTCGGAATACACAGCGAGATCGTTAACGCGATTCCACGAACGGAAAAGCAAACGTCTCGACAGTTTCCCGGGAGCAGTCTAATTGCCGCAGTAAGCAATTATGCTAATTGCACCGGTTTCTCGCGTTCAAGATACAATCGTGTTTACGAAACAGACATCGATATTCCGTGAAACGGGTGCAACGATCACGCGAGAACGGGCTCAATGGGATCGTGGATAATCCACGATAGCACCGGATGCGGACAATTTTACAAAAGATCGGACATCGCGTCCGGCGTCCATTAAGTTATTGATTGAGACGAGAGACCGTGGCTCGAAGATCTGAAGTCTTTCGAGAGTTTTGATAAGTTCCAAGGTACAAATATAACCACAGTCTGGTTTATCTCTGGGACCTGGTGGCATTAATCATCCTCAACGTGACGCGTCAACGTCGACAGGCCAAGTCAAATCGATCTTCCGCGTTTAAACTTCCGCCTTATCCTTTTTCCTGTTCCGCTTTCGTCGGGATCTCTGAGAACCTTAAATAATCTGTTTCACCGAGATACGTCGGGCTTTAAAGCGATAGAAGGCCAATTCCAAAAACGAGATCGTATAATTAATAATTGTTTGTCCAAAACCTTGTCCACTTGAGAACGATCTCATATATTTAACTTATCATATAAAGTAATCTGTTATTTTAACAGTCGTGTGCAAATAGTGTAAGTAATGGATTAGCGCCGGCAGAGATTAAAGCTGCGAGCTTTAACGCTCGGTGCCAAGAGAAATATATATTTTGGGACACGGGGGGGAAGCAGATTACTGAAGAAACGTAATTAACTCCTTGAAGAACGGAAGCTCCCTTTGAAGGCTGAGAATTATTTCCGCGTCCCGCCTCTTTAATTTTCATTTAATTTTCGGACTTCCCACCCGCGTCTCCTCCGGGATTCGTCGAGAATTTCAACGAGCCCAAAGTTTTTGCCCCTCGTAGTCTTGGGAGCAACGTGGAATTTCGCGACCTTTAATGCATGATAATTACATTCCTCCGAATGTCGAGGGTAGAGAATCATCCATTCTCATTTTACTAAATATTAACCATAACTCTTGACATTCCAGAAAAATAGTTTTCTTCCTTGTCAAATCTAACAAATAGAACGCAATGACAATATACTGTGAATATAGAAATGACAACTGCCATTAGGGTTCTCAAAACTCGTTTGATAAAAATTTAATAGAAGAGAATTGAATTCGGGTTCTGTTCATTACAAATACAAAGCTTTTTTCTAATCATTTAAACAGATCGCAGATGGTTGAATTTATGAAAAGTATGAAGTATAAAGGAAGGGCTTGCGGTTATTGTTCTCATTGTGAACGTTTGTTACGTTTCCTTTGTATCCTTTCGTCGCGATACACGGCCGGCGAAGAACGCATTGTTCTTTTCCACGGTAAAACGGCACAGTTGAAAGCGTATTACTGCACTTGTTAACGAGTTTACGCTGCCGCGTACCGCCGCTGGTGTGTGCTTTCTTTGAAACTCAAGGGCCAGGTTTTCGCTCGTTCGCAACGAACAAACAACCCTGGAAACTGCTTTGTGTCACCGCTGATAAAAGCGCTTTTCGATTCTTGATCGGCTATTCCAAATCTAATTAAAAACCGTTTGATTTAAATCCATTCATTCTCCGAATTCCAGTTGCAACTCGAAAATTCATCTTTGCTCGAATTTTTTGGTTAATCGATGCCCGAACATTTTTCTATTGAAATCATGTTCGTCACGATTTTTTTAAACTTGTATTACCAGAATATTATTCAAACGTTGCTGCAGCTCCACATCTTGGAATTCCTCGCTAACGATGCGGAGCGGAGCTTACATTTTGTTAGACCGGAAGCAAGCAAAAAATTGGGAGGAGAACGATGCGGTTGATTACTTGACGAGAGTGCCGACCTCAAATCGATAATCGAGAGCTGCAATCCCCGTTGGCTAAAATGATAATGTTCCTGCGGGAAATCCGCCGCTTCGTTTCGCGCTCCTCCTCGCGAGTTTCAGCCAGGAGGAAAGAGTTGCCTTCTTTCCTCCCAGCTCTCCCAGATTACCTACGTGACTTCGAACCTCTTCCGGGTTCCCCTTTCTTCGTTTTCCTTACCATTTGGTTCCCTTGGTTGAGAATGCTACTCGCCCTGAAAAATACTCCTCTCTCGGAAACTATTTACAGATTCAAAATCGAGCTCATCTTTCGTACAGATAACAATTTCTGCAAGAATTCATGCGGATTTCGTTTGATCTATTCAGTGCGGAAACTGATAAGACACGGCATGTCTTATCTCTAATTTCATGGAAAATATTGCTTCAATTCTCTCTTAAGCATTTGTCAATTTTCCGAGGGCGATTAATCTCTCGAGGTTAATTGAAATCCACATTATTAATTTTTTCGATCGACGTAAGAAACGAGATCGGACGTAACTCACAGTCCTCCTTCGATTAATTGCCTTTCTCAGGACCACCTGTTGTTTGAACAATCTCCTATCTTCGGCGACAAATCAGATTGATCAATACTGGTAACAGTTATCGATCCAATTGAAAATCATCCTCCATGTTACCCTCACTCTCAATCTGTGTTAATTGAATTCAATTGACTAATGCAGTTTCCAATCGTGTCAATTGGTTTAGCTTTTCAAAAGTTCACACAGTTACTCAAGAGACAAAAAATCGACAAGCTTTTGTCACTTCAATATCGATAACGTTTATTATTATTAAAACGGTTTGCATGAAAGCTTAGCCACTGTAACTTCAATTTCATTCGCAGGTTAATTAAATTTACAATGGAATTCTACGTTATTGCGGATCAATGATATTTTTCTCCCGATAGCCTGTTTCCAGTACGAAGGATATTTTAATTAACAAATGGTTAACAAAAAACGTTTGAAAATTTCGATTTCTCACGATACT